TACCGCACCTTCAGGGACCAGTGCTGGCGGGGCCCGATCCCCTGGTTGTCCTGCCCGTGCCTGGTGAGCACACTCAGCATGAACTGCTCCACAACTTTCCCCGGTACCGAGGTCAGGCCGACAGGGCTGTAGTTCCCCTTCTTGTAGATGGGCATCATATTGGCAAAGCTCCAGTTGCCTGTGACCTCCCCCGTTAACCAGGGCTGCTGATCAGTGATGGAGATTGGCTTGGCAGCTCCTCCGTCAGCTCCTTCAGCACCCTCGGGTGGATCCTATCCGGCCCCATGGATGTGTGGGTGTCCAGGTGGCGTAGCAGGTCATAAACTGCTTCCTCCTGGGTTACATGGGCTTTATTCCACTCTCCATCCCTGTCTTCCACCTCAGGGGGCTGAGTACTCTGGAGATTACTCGTCAGGCTATTAAAGACTGAAGCAAAGAAGCAAAGAATCCTAGAATGGCAGGGGTTGGAAGGGACCTTGGGAGATCATGTAGTGCAACCCCCCACTAAAGCAGAGTCACCCAGAGCAGGGTGCACGGGACATTGTCCAGGAAGGGTTTGAGTATCTCCAGAGAAGGAGACTCCACAGCTCCGCTGGGCAGCCTGGGAAGTGTGATCAGAGCAGACGTGTGGGCTGAGAGGAGCTGAGGAGAGATGATCAGGAGCTGCTCTAACCATGGGTAACACGCTGTACGCGGTGTCATTGCCCATACTTGCTCATTGGAGAGGGTGTCGCGGGTGAATGAGATGCACCTCACTCAAGAGAGGGAAGTAGCACTAGGTTTTGAGAGACTTCTGCCAGCCACTCGTAGACTACTTCGTCCAGAAGTCCACACAGCTGCTCGCTTAGTCACCCATAGTGGGATGGGGAGAGAATTGGGAGGGTAAGAGTTAGAAGCCTTGGGTGTTGAGATAAAGAGAGTTTAATAAGTGAAGCCAAAGCTGCACCCACAAACCAAGCAAGGATGGAGATGGGATGGGATGCAATGGGATGGGAGGGGATGGGATGTTTTCAGGCAGAAAAATCCCCACTGGAACCAACTAGGAGGGACCCCAGTGCAGGGGTGGCCGAGAGGCTTTTGGGCGGTTCAGGAGGCTTTGTAGAAGGGGAAGAAATAGGGGGACAGTGGTGGGGTGTCTGGGGAGAGCCCCGCTCTGAGCCCAAGCATTGCCTCCGCCTTGCATGCCAGCAGTGGGGGGGTGACGGAGGCTCCTGGCCCTCAGCGCAGGTTCCTGCAGGGCACTGGGACAAACCCTGCCACGACCCCAGGGCAGGCGTCCCAGGACCCTGAGGGGGCCCTGCAGGTGCAGGCCCTGGTGGCAGCAGCGCTTGTGGGCATCCTCCCTGCTCACAGGCAGGGATCTGCCCCCCAGGACCCAGCTGCGGTGTCTGGGGCAGGTGAGGGCCCAGGAGGGAGTACCTTGGGGACAGGGGTGGGAGCGCAGGAGGGGGCCAGGGGGAACAGGAGGGTTAAAGCAGATTTCGCTGGCGATTGCCTCACGCGCGTGTGTGGGTTCTCTGGAACGAGAAAGGAGAAGGAAGCAGAGCAAATGTGCTGATGGCTCTGGTCTGGGGGCTGCCGGGCACAGCCTGGGCGCTCGGCATGGCTCTGCTGGATCCCAGCGCCACTTTCCCCAGGGAAGAACCAACAGGCCCTGCACCCCACCCCACAGCCCTGACACCCCTCACTCCTCTGCTGTCCCCCTGGCTCCTGCAGGACAGGGCTGCCGGCCTTGGCCTTGGGCTTCTCCAGCTCCTCCAAAGCCCCGATGCCAGGGAAGCTCCCTGCACCCCACCACAGCCCCTTCTGCAGGCGTGGAGCCCCAGGACCCCCCCAGGATCGCTGGGGTGGGCGAATGCAAGGGCAAGTGGTGGCTGTGGGGCGGGCAGGGGGAGCCAAGACGTGCCCATGGCGTCCGGATCTCACCGCCCTTGGCCTTGGATACAGATTGTGTTCGACTGAGGAAAAACACGGCTTTGGGAATAAAACCAGGCAGGAATAGGCAAAAAACCAAAAACCCCAACAACACAGGGGTGAGAAATGCTCACTGATACCGAGCAGTCGGGGTGTGAGGGGCAATGACAATGATGCCCAGCTCAGCAGGGGCGCAGATCCCTGCACACGACAGAGGGAAATGGAGGAGATTGAGACCCTCGCAGGCAGGGAGGCTGGGCCTGGCACTGCCAACACCAAACCCTGCTGGGGGACCTGGGCTGGGGGGGCCCACGTGCACCATGGGGCAGGGGCTGGTGGGACCCACCTGCACTATGGGGCAGGGGCTGGTGGGACCCACCTGCACTGTGGGGTGGGGGCTGGTGGGACCCACCTGCACTGTGGGGCAGGGGTCCCCTCCACCCGGGGGGGGCCCTGCAAAGTCTGAGCGTGTGGGCAGAGCCATTGGCCTGTAATGGGGCCCCTCGGCCATCCTGGAGGCACCAAAGCCAGGCCCCAGCTCCAGGATCCATTTGGGAGGGGGGGTCAGGGGCACCCGTGGGACAGCAGCAGG